ATGCAGCTCCCTTTGAATTTAAAACCTTGCTAAATTATTTAGTACTACATACCGCAGACTGATTAAATTTTGCACAGGGGTACTGAGATTGTTTCCCAGGTAGGTCATCACTCAGTTCAGTTTACCACTTAAAATTTCTTTCATTCTCAGTCAAAATACAGCAAGGGCCATCCATCATTATCACTTTGTCCTTTAATTTTTCTGTCAGCCTTTGTCAAGCTTGAAACAAAAGCCTTTACATTTTTATCAACTGCAGCTATTGTTGTCTGAATTGTGCTCAGTCATCTCAGAATATCGGTTGTGTTTTTACCAAACAAGTCAAATATTTTCAATAGGTCAGATCTATCTTTCACATAAGCCCGCTAAACCAAACAGAACCATTTCTCATTTCTTTGGAAATGGAGAGTAAAAATGCTTAGGGCCAAATCGGCAGTGAGACTAAATTGTCCAGGCTCCCTGCACTTAAATGGATGAATGTCTTCCACCTTAGTAAGAAGAATGTGGCGTCAATTCAAGAAAGAGAGAGAGGCGAACAGGAAATTTTGATCAGGCAGGGCTTGACAGTGTTTTGAGCCAATCTTGTACAACACTATTCTGCCCCTTGTGAACAGACTACATCTGTGCCTCTGCTAAAGAGCAGCCTCCAGACCAAGTCAAGCATTGCATGCTCCTCCTTTTCCCACTGTCTGCTCGCAATCAGCCATCAGGTTACCTGCTCTCTGCCTTCACCTTGCCAGTGCTCATGTTGCTCGATGGCATCCTAACAGACAGTGGTGGCCATGAAGAATGCCTTTCTAAAACCTTCCCCATACTTTTCTCTGCATCCACTGAACTGTGATGTTATGTCAGGTGCTCTCTGGAAAGAGAGTTCTTGACTGAGCATTTGCGGCTCAGCTCATACCTCTCTGTGCCACTAGAGAGAGGTTAGGAGCCCATCTCTTTCATTGAAAATCCAGTTCAGGTCTTACCTGTACAACCTGTGGGAACATACATGAACAAGAGTTGGGACTGGAGTCAGTAACTCCCCTTGGCATGAAGTCTAACCCCTTTTCTATTTCCAACAACTTTTATGGATACAATTAGTTCTCTGTGAATTGTTTGTATTTCAGAGGTAGCAAGGTGATGAAATGAATGCCAACTCAAATACATTATTGAATTTTTGACTGAATGTCTGTCAACAAACATTCATTTTAGGAATGAGGTTTCAAAACTGATGGTGACAATTATTGCTTCACTTCTAGATCTCTGAGCATGGCTTTTCTATTTTGTTCGGTTCCCCATCTGCAAAATATAGCTATTTTCTGCTTCACAGGAGGCTAAGGATTAATACCTTAGTATTATTGAAATAGCAATCTGGTGCATTGATTTGGGTATGGCTACTTGAATTAAAAAGTTCCACTCTACAAGGTTTCTTGGTCATAATGATCCTTGGTATTTAGTGGCATGAGAGTCATAAACAAAAATTTGTTTCCAGCTGAACATTGTGTACAACTAGGTTCAGAAATTGCAAGGCCAGAAAATGGAATTAAGTTTCACTGCAACACAGGTTTCTTGGGTAGAACTCTCTGAATCCATTCTGTTAAGATCCTTCTTGACAGAGAGCTCAAGAGGACAAATCTATGTCGTCCCTTTGAGAGCGCGTTTCTGAGAAGCTGCCAACAGAGAGCTCTGGATAACATAATATGTGCTTCACCAGTCGTATAAGGTACGTGTGCCCTGCAGTAAAAACAATGACCAAAAAGTCCTACAGGACTAGAAACAGGTCAAATTGTAATTCCCTTTTCTGGCATGCAAATGAAACAGCACACTCTCTTTAAAACACACTGATTCATATGCCCTAAACAGAAGCCTGTGCTGTTGAGTATCAACTTATACTTGTAGTCCAACTGATTTGGGGAACTACCAAACCCGCTTACCTCCTACACCTACAATACATGATGAGAGAATGAGGGGCACTGCACACTTTTCTGAAGTGCATATCCTGCATTCTCTTATGCAAAAGCATTTTCAAAGCAAAGATAAATAAAGTTTTCATGAGAATCCATAAATCTGCTTGGAAGAACAGATAAGGAGCCTTTCTGTCAGACTCAGTAGGACTGAGCGGCCCCATACATGTAAATCTTTCAAATATGGGACTTGGGTGTTTTTCAGGATGCTAATTTATGCCTGGATTTGGGCTGTCCAAAATCGGGTTTAAGGATGGCATATGATCCGAGAGTTCCAAACTGTGCTGTCTGGAGAGCTGTGAGCTATTCTGTTACTTTACACGCACATTGCTCTTGCACCCTTTCCTGTCACTAAACAAGCGATTCTATCGGGCAGAGCCTCAAACCTAAGCAGGTAGGAACCAGGCATTTCTAGAGTCCAGAGCAGACTGAGATTTCATTGCTTGGGCAATGCAGCGCTCTTCAGGCTGCTGATTTCTGGTTGCTATCTTGTACTGTAGTCTTTGGGAGCAAGTAATTGTAATGCTGTGAGCAAAGCAGACCAACTGCAGTCATTTGCATGGTGAATTTCACCTTACTCTGCTAAGGAAGAAACAAAGCCAATGCTACTGCTTGTATTTACATTTCTTTTGAGGACTTGTGTTTTTCTTTGAGGCTTCTGACAAGCTGCCATTTTGATGTTTGGCATCAGAGTTTGTGACTTTGATCAGGAAACTAATTTCTGCACAAGCTTTCATTATTCTTGATCTGATCAGAAAAGATGAATCTATCACATCTGTATTAAAACACTGATATATCCTAGTTCTTGTTAACTAGTCTGTTTCCTACGTAGCCTTTCTTTTAAAATAAGAAATCTTGCTGGAAATACTTCAATCAGAAGAGAAACCAGAAAGCGGTGAACTTCTAAATTCACCAGTGACTCATTTAAGCTATTATGTGGTAAAATAGGTAGACAGTGTGTTCACAGAATGGAAAGCACTGTCATAAAACCATAACTGTATTTGCCAGTTGCGGTTAGCTTGCCATTGCATAGTCTTAAGTGAATGGCATATTTAAGAAAAGTAATTAATGGAACCTTAAGTCACACTAATTAGGTTTTACGTACAAGACTGATTTGTAAAGCTTTCCTAATAAACAAGGCTTTGCTCTCCTTATGAAGTAGGTGGGTTTTTTCTGTTTGATTTCATTTTTAGCAGATACTTATCAGGGAAGGAGTTTCCCTTTATGAGAAGCAATTGCATAGATCAGTAAATGTGACATGTATCTTTTTAAGATGTTAATTTATTTCTAATGCTTGTTATACTCAGTTCTATTTAATTATTGTGGTACTCACAATCCAGGTAATGTTACCATTTTTTGTGGTGATTAATATGGCTACACTGTGGGGGTTTTTAAAAGCCTGTTTTAATTTTTCTGACTTGGGAATATTTTGTACTGAGAAACAGATTAAATATCAGTGTACAACAGATGAAAGAGAGATCTCATGCCGTTTTCTGATGGCTTTGAAAGTGGAAAATCCCACAAGTATAGATTCCAGAGAGAATAGTGCTGGTGTTTATCAAAACCAGAGGAATACAGAAAATTGTAGGTGACTTGTAGATATTAACTGACAAGGAGACTTTTGAAGTGGCAAAATAATCTGTCATCCAGTATGAAAATAAGGTAAGCATGCTAATTTGAAGTCTTAGGAGAATAGTTATGCAATGCTGAACTCACGGCCCCCGTGTCTGAAATGTGTCGTTGTAGGGCTCAATACTGTAAAGCTCTGAGCTACTTCAGCTTCCATTGATTTCAGTCAGAATTAATGGTACTCAGAGACCAATTGCATTTCTTTCCACTGCCAGGGAAGACAGATCAGGGGTCAGATTTTTACTCTTTTACTGCACTGAATAGCACCCTTCAGAAATATTTTCACTGAAATCAGTGTGGAAAGGGTTACTCACCATCAACTCCTGAGAAACTAGTCCTTTCCTTTTAAACCTTCAGTATAAATAATCTGAAAAATGTCAGATACTTCTTCTGTCTTCACGGAAGTGCTTTTCCCTAGTCCTCTTCAGGGCTTTTGTTTGTTCTTTAAAACCTGCAATCACCTTATAAGCAAAATGATACTCATCTTTATTGCTTTTGGCAGTGTAATCAAAGTATTTTCTATCTGTACATCTGCTTCTGTTCTGCTCTGTACTGGAGCATTTTGCAACAGACATTGTTGGTTCCTCTGCAACAAAGCAGCGGCACACCTAAGGGTGGTGTACCTGCACTTACTTGATCAAAAGCTGAAGGGTTCTGTAGAATGCTGTCATCAGAGCTATGCAGTTTTTCTGACTTGTATCGCAGGGTTTTTAATAGTAATATTATTAGCATTTCTGATTTTTAGTTCTAAGCTGTTTTAGAGAAATACTGATGTGTGTATTAACAATAAATTGTAAGTGTTAAGGATGACTGAAAGATGACTGTGCCTGCTGCTTAGGGTAAAGATTTTGAAATATACTCTGCTCTGGATCTTAGCAGACAACTGTGTCTTAAACAAATGTGTGGGAAGAAGAAAAGCAATCCGGAAAAAGCAGCTCTTATAGTTAGTAGCATTTTCTCCCTTTTCCTTCCATTGAGTCTGTCTGAAATTGGGTGTTTTAACATACAGCCATTTCTCGTTAACATGTGTGTGTTTATTTTAGCATGATGGTGTTGTTTTTTTCATCTCCCACTCTGACACAGCATGTTTCATCCGTATATGGTTTCTACTATATGAGACATTTAAAATGGCTCAGTGAAGAAATGGATTCTTGTCACTTAAACCGTCACTCTCCAGATCTGTGGAAACTTGGTCATTTTAACAGTGTTTTAAATTCTGTATGCTTGAAGATTGACTATTAAAATTGAGAGTGATATAATGTCAAGAATTTAAAGGTACGCTGTTGTACCTGTAATAATTTATGTTAATCATGTTTTAATTTAATCATTTTCTACATATTTGTATTTACAAATTCAACCACTATTATGGTTTTCCTTTGTTTGCATGATATGATTTTATTTTATATTTTTTTTTCCACTCACCAGATGTTTTCAACACTTTGCTTCCCACTACTGTCATCCCCTCCCTTACCACTGCAACAGTCACAACCACTGTAGCCTTAACAGCCAGCACAACCACATCGGCAACAGCCATCAGCACCAGAGGTACAGTATGCTTCTTTGTTATGGCCTGAAAAACACATTATACATAGGAAATTATAGGTTTGATTTTTAAGAAGGATAGAAATTGCTAAAGGAGGGCTCAAACACTTTAGTTCAATATATATATATTTAATAGAATAATCCACAGGATGGTACATGGTTAAGAAAGATTTCATATGACCTTGAATATTTTCATTGCTCTAGCAGTGTGTATGTGAACTTTGACAGGATGCTTAAATTATTTGTATACATTTGCATTTATTTTTTTTTAAGGTTAGTAAATTAACTTTAATGTAAACCGCAAGCAAGCTATTTTTAAATAAACATGACCTTTTAAGACTGGTTATTTTGGGTGCTAATGTTTAAAACAAGATAGGTGTCTCGGCATTGGAATTACTCTTGATGCAATCTCACTTGATAACAAAGAGGCATCGCATTACATCACCCTTGTTAGTCTTTTACAATTATGGTATTCCTAACTTAGGGGTGTCTTTATCTTACAAGAACTATAGTAAATGAGCTGAAATTTCTCTCTCCCCTCTCAGCCCCCCATCCTCTTGCATTTTTGTCTGTTACAGCTTTTTCAACGTTTCTAGTAATGATTTGCTTTAATATGAGCGAAACATAAAGTGTAATTTTACAATTGTATTTAGTGACCGATCAGGTAACTGTTCAATAGTGAAGATGTGTGTGTAAGCTTTCACAGTTTATCATCATCTGGGTAGCTAGTAATCTTTCATGGTGAATGAAATGGCACAAGGTTCCTAGGTGGTCTGTTCAAGGCTTTCGTTGTGCAAGGAGAGAGGAAATAATATTCACTTACCACACTGCAAGTATTCACCTGATGAGGTATAATTACACCAGGAAATTTAAGACAGAGTTATGAAATCTTTTCTTTCTGGAAGCATTGTTACGAGTCAGTTGTAGTGAACTGCCTAACTTGCAAGAATAAACTGAGCTAAATGCAAGTCCATTGTATAAAGATTGTGATAGTGTCAGATCACCCAACTTCTTCCTCCATACGGCATTGGTATTTTAATATTGTGGCCTTCATGTAATAAACTGACATCAAAGCTGAAATTACATTTTTAAGCTTTAATATTACCTATAGTGTGAAGAATATATTGCTGGTTTAGTGAAAAAGAGAAAGAGTGCTCTAGTAGGCCTTTCCCTCCAGAAAAAAAAGGATAGACCGTGGAAAACAGCCCAATGCTTACTGGTCTGAGTAGTTGCAAGAGGAAGGTTTCCTGAAAAGGAACAGAATGACAGGAATCATCATGTCTTTATAAAAGAGTGTTTTGAGTCAAGCAGCAGAAGCTTCCCAGCTTTCTGAGGGCTCAGATACTGGAAGGACAAAGTGTTTGGTGTGCCATGTTGGTGTTTGCTGTCCTTAATGTTTTCTTCTTTGTGTCATGTGGCCATAACTAAACTATGTTGCTGTTGTGGTTGTATATTTAGTGTACCGGTGTTATTAAGGCATTGTGTTACCTTTAAGTGTGGTTTAGGACCTCACTTTCTTTTACTTTGAAGTGTTCATTTTCACCATTTGTGTTCCTGGCATCAAGAGAAAGCTCTGGAAAAGAAGACCCCTTTTCTAAGCTTCCACTCTAACACTTAGGAGAATGCATGCAATTTGATGCTACAGTGACAGCGGTACTGCTTTAAGAGAAAGTAAAAGGAGGAAATCTGGGTGAAGGTGATCAATCACTAAAACATGAGCACTAACTTTTACCAGAAAAAGAAGTGAATGCAGCAAAATGGCTGAGAAGATGAGACCATTTCAACGTCAAGGAACTGGTTGATATGGTCTCTTGGGCAGATGATCTAAGAGACAAAGGAATGTGGGAAGACTGTTTTTTGAAAAGCTTGTATTGCAAGGAAAATGACAGTCTATCTATCTCAATGCAGAGGAGAAATAGGACATGTGTAACAGACTAATGAAGTTGTCTCTCTAACAATCCTAAGAAATAAAAAATCATAAACATGTGAAAACAAGAGATTACTATAAGCATAAGTCATAGAGTATATCAGTGTGGAAGAAACAGGAAACTGGGCATAAAATCAGAAACAACCAGATGCAAAAGTAACTGCAACTAGCAAGGTGTGAGAAATTTAACAAAACAAAAAGATTTAGAAATGCATTAGATGAAAGACAAAAATGCAGAAATGTAGTGATCCTATTAATGAATTATTAGGACAAAGCTGAAGTAATTGGTGGTTTATCAGCAAAGGATGACAATTGGAATGCTGTTTCTAATTGGGGTGTCACACTGAAAGATGACCACAAACAGAGACAGATCAAAAAACATGGACAGGAAGTTTAAAGATACGCTCTGCAAGGCGCCAGTTCGTTTGGTTTTGCTTTCAAAAAAGAAAAGTCAGTATGACTCTGATGAAGAGTAATTTTCCAAGTTCAATGGGGAAAACAAATTCACTGAATTAATGGCAAAGGCATTTCATGGGGAAACTTTCTAAATGCATACGAGGCAGTGATGTGTTGTAGCTATTGAAGTTCTATGACTTCCTTCATCCTTGCTTTCTTTAAAGACGCTTGATTCCCATGGAAGAGGGAAATGGGCAAGATGCTCTCCTCAACCTCTCCTATCTTTCCGGGACCCATAAACAAACAATGTTCACAAACTTACAGTGAAAGTTGTGAATGCAGATTTCTGCCATCCTGAAACACTAGACTGAACCTTATCTAGATTGTCAGAGCACCTACACACTAAAGGTATAAACGGCATAAGAGCTGTTTTGGAGAGGATCAGATTTTCAGTAGTATCTGTTTCTGGCTGAGCCAAGAGTACCATATAAACATATTTTCCTTTGACCCTTCTGCTTCTTGTTCCAGTAAGATTTTTGACATGAAGGAGTATATAAGGACATAAAATTGAGAAGCTATTCATATATCTTCAACCTTCAAAATGTTTTTTTTTCTAGTGTTTTGGCTTCCAGGTACATTGGAAGCAGCATTTATCTTTATCTTACTCTATTGGATCTTGTTTGATCATGCCTTAAAGAAACAGAAGTTTGCCCCAGATCATAGGGTAGTACATACCAATGAATAATATCTTTGAACTGGATTTCCAATAGCTGACATAATAGTCTTACTGGATGGATTTCAGTAATTCTATTCTAAAATTACGGCTTTATATTTATGAATCACCTCGGGTAAATTTTATAAGACATTCCTCTATTCTGCATGACTTGAGGATATGTTACTGCACATCCAGTCACAGGAGATGTCTTTACAGGATATGATACAGGATATAAAGAGCCCAGAGAGTCTGTAAATCTAAGGCATTTTACATTATGATGACTGTACCGCATCATTACCAAAAGCCTGAATTAATGGGAAACTAAAAATTCTCCAAACTGTCCTTAGTTAATTCTGGAACTGTGTGACCCATCTCTTTCTTAATTTGCATGGCATTTAGTAAACAACATGAAAAAAAGCTACTGATCCAGTTGGATGACAGCATGATAATTCATAAACATCCTGTTTAGTCAAACTTTTCACTTTCTCAGACAAACGTATGCTTGCTTTTGTGCTCAGTCCTTCAGGAATTAATTATTCTTTTACTGGTACATTACCTACTAACTCAAAATATCTAAACACAATTTGATGCCAGTGAAGAGTATTGCCCTTTATATATTTGTCAAGGGTATCTTAAAACCTAATAACCATGATGGGGAATGTACGACAAAATGAGGATAAAATGTATGAGAAGAAACAATTCTAGAGGACTATGGAAAGAATAATTATACACTGTATGAGTAGTTTCCTCTCTGTCAGATTTATGTAATATTATTTGTGAAAGCTGTGCATGGGTCCCTGCTAGTGTTCCTTTTTGTGACTGGGAAGAGGCACAAGAGGATTGTGGATTTACCCTCAGTAGTGAATCAAGGGATGCCTCCCTCAGAGAAATTCTTTGTTAGCATAAAGTTACTTTAGATGGTTCTGTGCCAATCCTTCAAAGTCCTGTAGGTGGAGGAGGAGTGTGATTAACAGTCTAGGAAAAGCCACCTCAAGTCAGAGCAGCTCTGTGTTTCTGGATTCAAAGAGGAGAAAAGCTTGCGCACACAAATGTTTATAAAACACTCCCACAGGCTGGCATTATGTTAATCACACATACACCTACAACCTGCAATTTTTTAAACTTAAATCCTTTTCCCATCAAGAAAAAAAGAAGTCAAAGAGGTCATAAAACTTGGTAATTTTGACTTATTCTTATTACTGAAGGTTGAAATCACACCAGCACCCCACAAATAGGTACAAAATTAACATTGCAAGAACATCCCAAACTCAAAAGATAGATCCATTCAGTTCGATTGCACATACCAGGGTGATTCAGTCTCAGCTGAGTCACTTGTATAATGACTGTGCCAGAATGTTCAAAGCTTTATATAGCAACGCCTAAAAACATCTCCAAAAGTCATTGCGTATATCAGAGAGATGATGCTGCTCCCAGGCAGCTGCACTGTGAAGTTCAAGAGTTTATTTAATAGTCAGGGTGACCACAAAGCCAACGAATGTCACATTTATATATGAATGAAACCCCTGCTTTATTATACTCCACTTTGCTTTCATTGGTTTTGACTCTGGTATAAAAGAAAGATTTCTTAAAGGAGATCTCCTGAGCTAAATTTAGAAGAAGAGTTTACAGTGGATTAAGGAAGGGTTTGAGGTTGTGATCATTTTGAAAACTATTGTGAATTCAATTTAAGTGAGAATATTTCTATTTAATAGCATAGATTTAAACCATCTTAGCTGAAAAATTACATTACTTTCTTTTTCTCCCATTTTTACCTTGGAGTCTATATGAGGGGGAAAAAAAGGAAAATGCTAGAATACCTGTTTTATTATAGGCAGTTTAAATGCAGGAAGTACATGGACAGTACTTGTAGTCCTCAGGGGTTTTTGTATCAAAAAAAAGTTAAGCATTGCCAGTTTTTTCCTTGTGATTTCATTTTTCTTTCACGTAATCTGGTTGATATAATTC